TCTATTTACTCTTGGTTCGTATGAGTGAGACTAATATCCCTAGACAGTTGATTTACATGGTGGGCAGGGCAAAAAAAGGTAACAATTCCTATTAGTGCAGTGATTCTTGACAGCCTTTTTATTTTTCAATAAAACTTAGACAATTTTTTATTTTAAAAAAGTCCCACATAAGAAATCTAAGTGTGAAAAAACCTGAACATTTTGGGAGTGGGAATGTCACATGAAAGTTTCCTTTGCATAGTACTTTGGTGTAGTTGTTATGTGCTGTGGAGTCGGTTCCAACTCATAGTGACCCTGTACAGTGTTTCTGAGGCTGCAAATCTTTATGGGAGCAGAAAGCCTCCTCTTTCTTCTGTGGAACAGCTGGTTGTCAACCTGCTGACCCTGAGGTTAGCAGCCCGATTTGTAACCACTACGCTACCAGAGCTCTTTTAGTAGATATTCATTATTGTCAGTATCTGTGTCTTGGGATTCAGCTACTTGCTAACATGTATTTGTAATTCCAAAATTGATAATCAATAGTGCTTTCACGGTCATTTGGGGACATGTGAATGCAATAAAAAATTTAAGTTGCACAACGTGCCTGCTCCCAGCTAGTGTGGGACAGGGCCACTTTACCTTCTTGTGTCATAATTTAAGCATAATTACTCCATAATTTTAGTAAGGGTCCTTTTGGTGGTCTATTTTGATGTTGTGGTTAAGTGCTGTCAGAGGGTTCCGATCCATAGCAACCCTGTATAGGGTTTCCAAGGAGCTGAGCTGAGCTTGAACCTCTGACGTTGAGGTTCAAACCGACTTTGCAGTCCAGCACATTAACTCACAGCTCCACACATTGCCACTTTTTCCCCTTTTCTTCACTTTTGTCCCTTTTGTTGGTGATTTGGTGTTTAAAATGGCTCCAAACATGGTGCTGAAGTGTTCCTAAGCTCAAGAAGGTTGTGATGTGCTTTATGGAGAAAATACACATGTTCAGGCTTGAGTTATAGAGCCGTTGGCTCTGAGTTCAATTAATAAATCAATAATACATATTCAATAGTGTATCTTTAAACAGAAACACATAAACCTAGGTTCTTTATTGACTGGTTGGTGAAAATGTTGTGACCAGAGGATGCAGGCAGGCCCTTGCTTCCCCAGTTAGAGTCCCCGTGCGGCACTGTAGGATAAGCACTGGACCTTAAGTTGGTGGTTCAAACCCACTACCTGCTCCCCGGAAACTCTGTACGGGGTCGATATGCGTCAGAACCAACTCAATGGCTCTTAACAACCATATCAACCTTGTATTTACCCTGGAGCAAGGTTCACTATTCACTAATTCAGTGAATTTGGTGGTGTTTTTAAGTGCTGTTGAGTCATTCCTGACTTC